ATGTTGCGCGACTCAACCCTGTGTTCTGCTAGACACTTTTCTGGGGCGTGCAGCGGACCCCTGAGTCGAGGCGAGCTGTATTTGAAGCGTATTAAGGTCTAAGCACAATAGATTCGCGAAAGTCGTTCGCGAACGCAAAGCATGAGTTAGAAAAGGACAGAGATATATTTGTGTCCTTGTCTATCTCATGCGTCTCGTTCGCGAACGACTTTCGCGAACCTATTGTGCGTTGGACTTTACACGCTCTTTGGGGCGTGCTGCACGCCCCAGAAAATGTGTAGAAGAATTCAGGGTTGGGTCGCGCAACATGAATCGAAAATGTGCTGTAACGCGCCCTCTTTTTTCTCAGTGTAGAAAAACTTTTTTTTTACTTTGATAAAAAAATTCATTTTTTCAAAAAAGTTTTTTATTTTGAATATTGATGTTTAAAGTTAATAATAAAATCTTATATTCTTTGCATCATAAATTACATATTTGATTAGTAATTAATAGAATTAATCACAATTAAAGCTGAAAAATTCACTTTTTTACTAAAAATTTTTGCATCAAGAATTAGTTAATAAATTATACTTTTAATATTAATGCTTCTTCCACAAGGAAGCAAATATTTTTGCTGACTATAAAGAGGAAGCAAAATTTTCATGTAATGAACATCTAAATTTGCAACTTGTTTTGTTTAATAACAAATTCTATGAATGAAAAGTTTAATTAAAAATTTTTTAAGTAAAAGGAGAGGGTTAAATAGATAGTAAATAATTCTTTGAATTGAATATTCTATCGTTTGTCATTTGTTTCTAAAATTTTGAAATCTACTATCTTACAGTAAAAAATCTTGACCCAAATGGAGTAGAAACTTGACTCAATTTGATTTTCAACAAATATGAAACTAGACTTCTTATTTTGAGTTAATGCTAAAAGTACAACAATAAAACAAGGCAGTTTCCTTTTGAGTGAAATATACCTAAATGTGAAAAATATTTCCAAGCAATATTTGAATGTGGAATCTGGAATATGAAATTTGAATTTTGGAATCCGAAATGTGGAATCCGACATGAGGAATTTGAAATGTGGAATTTTAAATGCGGAATTCGGAATGTAGAATACGGAATAAGTTACGTAATCGACCCCCTAGATTTAATATTTTGTTAAATTTTAAAAAGAACTACTTAAATTTGTGAAGTATAAAGTGAAAAATATAATATGTTAAAAAATATATGAAGAAATAAATATTTAAATAAAAGATCTTTTTTGTAAAAAAACGCATTGTATACTTTTTGAGTATTTTTATTAATCACGTAATTCTTTTTTCTCAATGTTTCTGATATTTTTTTTTATATAATCCGCTTATTCCTGCTTTTTCTCATCACTTACAGGAAATTAAATTTTATTCTATTCAATAAAAATATACGTTTTTTTCGATTGAAATGCCATATAGTTGCACGTAAATCTAAAGAGAATTTGTTTTTATATTTATATTTCGAAACTGTTTTTATTTATTTCAGGATTGTTTTTTTTTATTTTAAATGAAAGAAAATTGCTTTACTTTTGAAAGGAAAAAATTTACAGTTAAAATTAAAATATTAAAAAATAATATATTTTTTCTACTGTGGAAAAATTTTTTTGCTTTTCTATTTATTTTGTTTCATCTATATATGTGATTACAGGGTTGTCACAGGTCAGGGAATTCAGGGAAAAGACAGAAAAAAGTTACAAATGACTGCAGAAATTAAATTATTTTCAAAAGTAATAAAATTTTTCGCAAAAATTCAATTATGTTCAAAACTGAAAAAAAATTCTCGTCAAAATTCAATTATCTTTAAAAATAATAAAATTCTTCTCTGAATTTCATTTATATTTTCAAAAATTTTAATAAAATTCTTTGCAAAATTTCAATTATTTTCAAAAAATTTTCCTCAATTCAATGATTTTCAACATCTACTATTTTAATAAAATTTTTCAAAAGAATTCAATTATTTAAAAATAAAATTCTAAGCAAACATTAAATTATTTTCATAAATAATAAAAATTTTACAGGAATTCAACTACATATTTACAAATTTTTTTATAAACTCTATAAATAATATCATTTTTTACAAAAATTCAATTATTTTCATGAATAATAAAACTCATCATAGAATTTCAATTATTTTCAATACAATTTTAATCGAATTCCTCGAAAAATTTAATCATTCTTGAAAATTTCATTAAAATTCCTCGAAAAAATTCAATTAGGTTGATAAAATTTTTCATTATAATTAAATTTAGAAAACCATTCATTTATTCAGTAAATTATTTATTTTTGTCTTTAAATAATTGAATTCTCGTAGAATTTTCCAATAAAAATTGATTTAAAACTGAATATTAATGAATATATTAAAAGCATTATAGCATCAATTTTTAAAAATAATTAATAATTAAATTCTTTTGAAGAATTTTAATAAAATTCTTGAAAATAATTAAATTCTTCTAGGATTTTATTTTAAATTTATTAAAAATAATTGAAACCCTCAGAAAAATTTTATACTTTATGAAAATAATGGAATTCTTATAACGAAATTTATTAAAATTTTTTTTTTTAAATTGAATTTATGTGAAAAATTTTATTATCTGTAAAAATAATTGGACTCCCGCAACGAATTTTATTACATTTTATTTAAAGAACTAAATTCTTTTGAGAACTTTTATTAAAATAGTAAATTTTGAAAATTTTTGAATTTCAGCGAAGGATTTCATTTTTTGTGAAATGTAATTTAATTCTTGCAAAAAATTTTTGAAGATAATTTTATTTTTATAGTTTATTTAAAATTGTATTAATAATAATTGATACCCAGTGAAGAATTTTATTATTTATGAAAATAATTGAATTTTATTATAATTTTTGTAAATAATTTAATTTTCTTTTGAAAAATTTTATGGAAATCTAAATTTTTATAAAACATGAAGATATGAATTACTCCGAATCGAAGACTCGGAGTGATTTATATCTTTATTTTTTATAATAATGTTCTTATAAGATGTTGTATTTTAAAAATGTTTGAATTTGAATGTTTTGAAGAATTTTAATTCCTATGGAAAAATAATAATTAAATACTTATTTAAAAATGAAGTTATTGATGTTTGTGAATGATGTTACAATTAAAGAAATTTGTAAGTAAATGTAATAGAATGTTTTTTTTAGTATCTAATATTTTTTAGAGTGAATCAAAATATTCTTTATGGTCAGGAAAAAAGTCAAAATCAGTCAGGAAAAAATCTGGAAATCAGGGAAAAGTGAGGGAAAAACAATAAAATTAATTTTTTGTGTCAACCCTGGATTAATGTTGCTTTTTTTATTCAATTTTGAATGATGAAGAAAGTAGATTAATTTTGACAATTGTTAAAATTCTTTATTAGAGTAATTTTAGTGCTTATTTTTCGTGTGATGAATACAGTAATAGGAAGTGTAGTATAACTGCTATTTAATGGAACATACACATCAGCCGTATGCTTTTAAAGGTTTTTGATATTGTTCTCCGGATATTTTCCGCTTTCCACCATTTCTAGCACATGCATCTTTATGTAGGAGACATAAATGCATTTATAGCTTACACTCTACTTTCACACAGTATACGAGTAAATTTGATCACAACACATTGAAGTGGCTTCAAAGCCCTCTGTTTACGTGACACTTGTCCTACTGTTCATTTAATCGGTTTATTGGCGGACTCTTCTTTATTATCTTTTTATTTTATTACATTTCCTCTTTTAATTTTCAGTTTTGTCTTTCTTTCTTAACTTTCCTCTGGAATTACCTAAATAATTTTTTTTCCTGCTTTAAATTGAATAGTCTATTTCATTTGTTTGAAAATAAAATATTTATGAAGATGAAATTAATTAATAGAATACAAATAATGTTAAAATTATTTGAAAAAGTTTTGATACTTGAGGGAAAATAATAGAGGATATTTCGGATGTACGGTTACATTCATGTTGTACACAATTTTCAATTCCAGTTTAAAGCTCTTTGATTTGAAGGAACGGTTATTAAACAATCCGAGTTCATTTTTGGACTGGAAGTGCATTTTGCTTCACTCGAGTACAGCACAGTAGAAACAAAATAATACAGAGACGAAGTTTATTGTACGGTTTCTCTTGGGATTGTCCTTGCTGTTATTGCCGTTACCAGAGAACATGAATGTCGACCACGTTGTCAATTGCAGTGAAAATTCCCTATGAAATAGAATTGTCGTGTCACGTCTTTCACTTAAAAAAAAAATGCGCGCCTATAAAACTTTTGTTGTCAAGCCTTTGATAAAAAATAGTAGGGTTTATAACAAAGTATTGTTTTCGAACAAAAATCTTGACCAATAATTTTTTTTTTATAAAAATGAAACAATTAATTGTATATTCTCTCTAACACCAATGAAGACGCCTCCTGAGTGAAAAAGAGCATCGAGAAAATATAGAAGAACCCACGGAAAATTATAAATTAAAATTTCAATCCCCTTTCGTGACTTGAAGTCTCTACTCGTTCATCCCGCCCGAAAGGTTAAGACGCCCACTTCCGGAACAACGCGTCCCAAATCCAGTTTAACATTCATAAGTCATAATTTTCCGCCGCCTTGAGAACTTGCACAGACACTTGGAACACTCGTCAACTTCGAGAATACCGAACCGTCAGTATTCGAGTAAAATAGTTTCTGAGACTTATTGCATTTCTCTGCGAAAACGTCATAGAACTTTGCAATTTACATATTAAACGCACAAGACATTTAATTTTAAGTTTTGAAAATTGAAATTTCATTTTGTTGGGGAAATTTTTATAGCTATTTTATTTTTAAAATGAAGATTTATTCTTACAAATAGAATTTTGCCAATTTAAAAAATTAGATAAATTAAATTTAAAAAAATAGATTTTCAATTTACAAAAATTCAAATTTCTTTTTAGAAAATTAAGTTTTAAGAATGAAAATTTTAATTTTTTGAAGACGCTTAAATAAAATAAAACTAATTTCCAATAGGTGGGAAAGCAGCTTTTAAAATTCGATGGATATGTAATTCAATTCAATGAACCGATTTTTATTATCGGACGAAAATAGACATTTATAATCGCCCTAGATATAGACGAAGAGGAATTAAATACGTGTGAGAACATGTGATTGCGAGCTTAACAAAATTGCCGAGACGATCAACAGGTACGTTGAATATCCTGCTCAAATTCAATATTCATTTTATACTGACTAGAGATGAAAAAAGTTTTTTTTAAAGCCAAGAAATTATTTTCCTGGTTTCATATTTTGTAATTATTTAAATTTCATCCTAATTTTTAACCTCTTTCTCTTTTATTTTTTTCTCTCTCTAAAGTTTACAAACTTGTTATAAATTTCTTTGTAATAATTACATTATTTTCATAAACTATACAATTTTTTACAGAGATTCAATTTATTTTCGTAATAAATAAAATTATTTTTAGGAATTCAATATTATTTTTTAGCTGAATTTCAATTATTTTTAATTCAATTTTAATCGAATTCCTAGAAAAAATGTAATTAATCTTAAAAATATTATTAAAATTCGTCGAAAATTATTTTATGTTTTTATTTTCTAATATATAATTAATTTAATTATTTCCGAATAAAAGAAATATCGTGTAAAATTGAATTGTAAACAGATGGATTTGAATATTATTAAAAATAATTTAAAGAAAAATTTGAGTTAAAAATTATAAAAAATAATAATTGAATGTCATATTTAATTATTATAAAATATGATGAAATCGATCACTCCGAGTCGAAGACTTAGAGCGCTCGATATCTTCATGTTTTATTTAAAACGTTTAAATTTGACATTTTTAAAAATCTTAATTCCTATGGAAAAATAATACCTAATGATTAAATATTTATTTAAAAAAGAAGTTATTGTTGTTTTCGAATAACTTTACAATTAGAGAAATTCGTAAATAAATGTAATAGAACATTTTTTTAAGTATCTAGTTATTTTTAGAGTGTATCAGAATATTCATTAGGGTCAGGGAAAAAGACAAAACTTTGTCTGGAAATCAGGGAAAAGTCAGGGAAAAACAAAATTAAATTTTTGTAGCAACCCTGTAATAGTTTTTTTGAATAAGGTAAAAATTAAAAAAATGAATTGGCTTTTACATAAGATAAATAAAAGTGTCAATTTCATTAACAAAGTCAACTTTACTTGAATAAGAAATACGACATTTATAGTGAAGAAAGAAAAAAGAATTTATTAAACTAGTTGTTCAATAAGTTCAAAATATATTCAAATACATTGTAAAAAATGTTTAAACAGACAAAAAAAATTGTCATACCTTACCTCACTCTTAAACAAGTTTATAAATGTTTCAAGTACTGCAGTAGGAAAAATTAGATATTAAATAATTTAATTAATAATTGTTTAAACGATCATCGTAATTTATAATCGCATCATCGCATTAAAATTTTTTTCTTTTTTAATATTTAATTAACTTTAATTAAATTTTAACTTTCTAAAATTTCAATTGTTTTTGAAAAATAGAAAAATTGTAATACAAAATTAAAACAATTAATTAGTTTTTTTTATTTTTTTAAATAAAACTCGAAATTTTTTTGAAAAATTAAAATTTAAACTTCTCTATTTAAAAATTATAAAATGAAAAACTATGTTTAGAAGTAAAATTATGGAAGACATTAGTTTGAAAAAATAAAATGTCAAAGTCAAGCATGGTCTTAAACCAAAATAAAAAAGGGGTATGAAACCAAATAATAGGTATGGGGGAATTATCGATTGAATATGATTAGGTATAAAAATTTCTGTAATGTTTTAAATGGTTGATTTTTCATTCGGCTTTATGTGCTTGTTGTTTTCTCCCTTTGTCATTCCTACCGGGAGAGAGCACTTTGAATAAAGTAATATTAATAAAACGAGTTTTGAACGCGAAGTCTCGATCGATCATACGATTGATATAAATGAACAAGAAACAAGAACCGCCTACACTTTAATACCCTCAATCCGTCATAAATGATATGAAAGACTTTTCATTAAAAAAAAAGTTCTGAAAGGTACCTTTTCAATATATTTTTATATTTTCCACACTATTTTTTTTTCATTGATTACCAGTAATCGTTACTTATTGTATAGAACACTTGTCACTGTCTAGATCATTTACTAATTTTGAATCTAATTTAACAGCAAAGTAATAATTTATTTATGAATCACAGGCTTCGCACTCATCTACTAAAACCTACTATTTACTCCTTTTTTGACGTTATGCTACTATTTGGTTTTTTTTTTAAATTTCAGCCACTAAAAGCTACTATTCTGTTTTTTTCCAGAATTTTCACTACTTTAAATTCGCTAATTTTTAGAAATGAAAAAACTATTCTCAAAAATTAAAATCAAATTCTTTGAAAACATTCAATTATTTTCAAAAAATATTTGAAATTAAATTATTTTCAATATCTAGTATTTTCATAAAATTTCACAAAAGAATTCAATTATTAAAAAAAAAATTTATAAAATTCATCTAAAATTCAATTATTTTCATAAATAATAAAATTTCCACAGGAACTCAATTACTTTCACTAATAATAACATTTTTCATAAGAATTCAAATTTTCAAACAAATTTTTAATAAAATTCTAAACAAGAAATCAATTATTTTCACAAATAACAATATTCATCACACGAATTCAATTATTTTTAAAAGTAATAAATTTCTTCTAGGAAATTCAATTATTTAAAAAAATTCTTATAAAATCATTCGCAAGAATTCAATTATTTTCATAAATGATAGAATGCTTTTTAGGAATTCAATTATTTTCAAAATTTAATAAAATGCCACACAGGCATTCAATTATTCTCAAAAATTTGAATAGAATTCTTTGAAAAATTTAATTATTTTTAAAAACTTTTTGCAATTCAATGATTTTCAAAATCTACTATTTTCATAAAATTTCCAAATAGAATTTAATTATTTAAACATTTTTTGTAATAATCTTCATAAGTAATTCAATTTTATCTAGAGAGCTGAAAATTGGTACACTTTTGTATTTTCATGTGTACATTACAGGAAAAATATAGTGGAAATGATTAGAATTATTGATCTTCATTGCGTTTTGAGCGAAAACCTAAAATTTTTTTTCAATTTTTGATAATAATTGAGGGCCTGCATACAATAACAAACGCTGCGCTTGGTTGTAGGGGATAGTACCAGTCAGGTAGCAGTGAACGGTCCAGAGGCTCTCACTGCTGTCTGGCTGGTATTATCCCCAACAACCAAGCGCAGCGGTTGTTGTTGTATGCAGGCCCTCAATTATACCTATATGCTAGTTGTCTCAACTCTTAATCTTATGGACTAGCGTTGGGCATTTTTTATTTATTTTCACGTGTAGATTACAGGAAAAATACAGATAAAATTATTGGAGTTCATCTTCATATTTTTTTGCAAAAAACTAGAAATTTTTTTTCATTTAGAAAAAAGTGTGTACCCTTGGTTTTTACAATTCTTGGCCTATTGGACTACAGTTTTGCTTATTTTATGTATTTTCGTGTGTAGATGTCAGGAAAAATACACTGAACATGATTGGATTTTATCTTCATATTTTTTTCAGCGAAAAACTCAAAATTTTTAAAAATTTCGTCAAAAAAGCGTGTTTTTCACCCTAGCGCCCACAGTTTTTTATCTGAAAGATGAAAATTGGTTCTTTATTTATTTTCACCTGTATATTACAGAAAAAATACAGCGAAAAATATTGGAGTTGATCTTTACATTTTTTTGAGCAAAAAAGTAGAAGTTTTAAATTTCATACACATTTATCAAAAGTGCCAAACAAATTATTTATTCCTTTTAGACAAACTCAATATTTAGTGAAATTTGGAATTTTTAAAAATATTTTGGATGTAATGAAGATTTGAAGATTATTAATTTGTAATAGGCTGAATCCATTTCAAATCAGGCAGACTGACCAACTTCAAGTCATGGATTTAACTGCTGATAGGGTTTAAATAAACTTGACACAATGAATTTTTAAATGTGAAATTTCATGAAATTGCGTTACAGGGGGAGGGGGGGAGGGTCTAAAATCCCGAAAAATTGCGTGACATCATTTATGAACGCACCCTAAAATATTTTATTCTACATGAAAAATAAGGGACCCGTATTTTTTATTTTTCATAAAAACTATTTTGAAAGAAGTTATGCATATTTAAAGTTTCAGTGGTGAAACTCGAAAAAACATTGAAAAAAAATGGTTTCGCTTGTATTTTTTTTCTAATGAGTATAATAAAAAATTTTTTCTTGAAACTTGTAGATGGGCTAGTCCTCTTCAAAATCCAATTTGGAAAAAAAATTCAAAATTAACGACATAAAAGATAGTTTTTAAAAAAAAATTATGTCGATTTTCTCAAAAACCCCACATTTTTTCTAATTTTTACCATAAATTCTCATCAATATGAAGAAAAAATCCCATAATTTTCAAGCGGGCTAAACCATCCTGACATTCAGGAGAATTTTTTTTCTAAATATTTCTTTTTACAAAATTTGAAATTGTTTACGTGCATTTTCGAGAACAAATGAACGAACTGAAGTAAGTCATTTTATAATTAATAATAATAAATGCAGGGAAAATAACCGCAAAATTAATTTTTTCATAAATTTTCAACATAAATACAATTAAAATTCGATAATCATCAGATACAAGGTCGAAAAAGACAGATATTTCGAATCATAAATATTCAATTAATACCTAAATAAATTAACCCGTGTGGAAATTTTCTAATGGCCCTTTATTGGTTCTACCTAGATTTCCCCTTTATTAACTTGGTCCTAGCTTGTTTATCCTTGTAGGCCCTAGGTTGAAACGTCACGCTCTTCTATCCTAGTTCTACCTAGAGAATCTAGTTAGGCTCAATAAAAGGAACAGTTTAATTAACTATTTAAAAAAAATTATTTATTCTTATTTATTATTATTGAGATTCATTATTTCAACTTTTTTTTACCTACTTTTTTTATCATGTAATTTATAATACTTAATTCCTATATACTAACAGAGAAAAAATCCCCACACGTTGGGAGTTGAACGCACGACCCTAACATTCGTAAACCGATAACCTAACCACTTAACCACGCTCGCTCGGTACGATGCGTTGCATGATACTTCAGGTTATTCTTGTCATCATAAGTCATATGAAC